ATACGCCTTCCCATCAGAAACACCTATTCAGGTTCCTTTGTCTTTTCTAAGCAGGCTGTTTTCTGTTTGAATATATATAGTTTGAATATTATCAGATTTATATTTTACAACGATTGTCTTCCATAAGTTACCTCTGCACTTTGTTGATGGATCAATACCTTTGCTATGCAGAACCTTTAAAATTTAATCTAGCCCAAGGGGCCAGGGAGATAGCTCAGTGGAATAAGTGCTTGCCTGGCAAGCGCGAGGTCCTGAGTTCAATCCCTGGTACCACATAATAATAATAATAATAATAATAATAATAATAATAAATAATAATAATAATAATAATAATCTAGTCCATTTGTGTAGTACAGGACCAGTTGGCCCCTGCATCCCCAGCCCCACGCCCCAAGCTCGCTTTCATTCTTCTGACAGGTGAGGAAGCGCTAGGCCCTTGCCACACGCTCTGCCCCGAGCAGCGCCCTGTAACGCGCTACCGGTTCTCAGCATCCTCTTTCACAGAACGTTCTCAGCAGAGAATTACTGCGCTTTGTTTCTACAGTTACTGTCTTACCTCAAGGAGGAGGGGCCCGACATGTCTGAGCGCTTTATTCTCAGCCCCAGCACACCCATAGTTTAAGAATGAGTGAACAACGTTTGAAGGCCCTTTGAGTAGAGCGGAACATCTGAATGCACTCAGGAGAAACAGATTCGCTGGTTGCTTCATTAGTGCTTGTGTGCAGCACATACTGGTTATACTCCCGTGTGAACTTGGTGCACATACCTAACCCATCGCAATTCCTTTCTTCATCTCTTCCCTTCCCCTGCCATCTCCTGATCCCCTTTTCCTTTGAAAAAGATCTATCTCCTTACTTACTGCTACCTTTTCTTCTCTTATGTTTATTTTGTATTTTATGCAGCGTCTCACTAGGCAGCTTGAACTTGTATAGAGAGTCTCCGGTTCAGCCTCCCCAGCGCTGAAATTACGGGCGTCTCGGTGGCCAGCTCAGCGTGCCTGGGGGCGGGATCAAACCCGGTCCCTGAGCTTGCCTAAGCAGGCGTTTAGTCCACTGAGCTATCTTGCCGGCCCTGTTTCGTCTTTATTTTTACTTTGGGTTTCACATATAAAAGAAAGGATGGAGTATTTAAGCTTGTGTGTCTTAGTTATTTAACATTATGGTCTATCTACAGCTTGGCAGCAGCCTGTATGTCCATTTACCTAAGAATGGAGGCCGAGAATTGTGCTAACAGCTGCACACAGTGGAGCGCTACTATGCCAGAAAGAGAAACCTGAGTCCCTTGTAGGAAAAAATATGCTCATTTCCTCAAAATACAACACAACTAACTTTCAAAATGTGATTAGCTGATTCTCCTATAAGGGTATCGGGATGGACAGGAACAGCTGCCGGCATGTGACTGTCCATCGCGTTTGTCTTCCTGGGAAGCAGAAAAATTCTCTCCTTTCCCTCCAGAGTTCAGTCTCATATTAGGGAATTTTGAGCCAGATTCTGAGACCACGACTTTGGGTATTGGAGTGTTATTTTCCTATTAAAGACAGTCTAGATATAGTCAATGCAGATTCCTTAGCAGTATATTCTTCCTAGTCTTCTCTCACTCAACCCTCACTGGGCATCTTAATCTGTAACTAAACATATTTACTTATAGTCTAAAGCAGATTAACAGAGGATATCTGCACACTAATTTAGCCCTTTGGCACCTACACATGTTCTTTAATGAAAAATGATCTTACAGAGGAATAGACTAAAATTCTAAATCATCGTATAACTTCAGAAAGCGACTTTTCAGTAGCGGGTCACAGTTGTTAACAAGGGATACTTAGATAAGTCTACCATTAGGGCTAATCAACTGAATTTAATTTGCAGTAAGATTAGTTGTAAAGAAGTAGTGCCTGGGTGAAAAACTGACTGTCAAGATGATCTGCATTTGCCGGCAATCCACTTTTACTTTCTTGTTCATGTAGGCAATTCAAAAATGGATTAGTCTCCTTTTGAGAAACTCACCCATGAATTATGAAATGAAAATGGAAATTGCTAATGTTTTGTAGTTATTTCTAGCTAGAAATCTTTATAATTCATAACTCAGTTTACAATGTGATGTTCATGATGTAGCTGAATTATTTACGAATGAGCACAATATGAAAAGAGAATAGAATGTCACAAAGGTCTTTAAAATTTCTTCTCTGGTTTTCTTTCTTTCCCCTAGGAGTTGCGCTGTTTGCTCTTGTTTTTCTAATACCTTGAAGTGTAATATTAGATCATTTGATTCATTTCAGTGTAGACATTTACTGCTATGAACTTGCATTGGAACTGTTTTCGCTGTATCCTATGTTTTTGTATGTTGCTTCCGCCTTCATTGTCTCAAGGTCTTTTGTGATTTCACCGACCTGTTACTGATTTCTAGTTTCATAATAAGGGATACTTAGCTAAATCTACCACTAGGGCTAATCAACTGAATTTAATTTTCAGTAAGATTAATTCCACAGAAATACTGTCTGGGTGAAAAACTGTCCTGATTATCTGCATTAATCAGTAATCATTCTTTACTTTCTTGTTTATGGAATTACAAAACGTGTTAGTCTCCATTTGCAAAACTCCCCTATAAATTATGAATGTCAAAAATGGCCAAAAGTGTGGTTGGAAAAGAATATTTAATATAATTTACATTTTCTTACATTAAAAACCTGTTTTGTGGTCTAATATGAGCTAGCCTAGAATGTCTCCGATAAACCTGGGAAGAATCTCTACTCTGTTACTGCTGGATAGAATGGTGTGTGTGTGTGTGTGTGTGTGTGTGTGTGTGTGTGTGTGTGTGTGTGTTAGGTGTACTGGTCAAAAGTGTAGGTTAATTCTGGTATTTCCTTATTTTCTATCTGGATGATCTGTCCATTTTAAAAGTGAGATATTAAAAAACATACTATTACTATGTTACTCTACCTTTACCTTCAGATCTACTAATATCTGCTTCATATAAAATGCCACCAGAAGGTCTCAGATAGCGAGTGCCCTAATACTTACTTTGGCCGAGTGAGGTCACTAGGAATGCCGTACTGTTTTCTCATTTCATGTTCTTGCCACCTTGCACCCTTGGTGGTACATGCATGACTGAGCCCGTGGGTGGCTTGTACCGCTACCGGCACTGATGGATCTAATCACTTTTATTGGTCTTTTTATTAACAAAACTGAATCAGAGCCAACTGGCAGGGAGACATGAATTAGGGGCCTGTCATCAGCATGTTCATACTCAGGGATAATTAGTTGGGCTGTCCTGATCCTTACTGTACGCCTTGCAAAGCTGACTATGGGCTATGTAACTTGTTTCCCCCCACACAGCATCTAGCAAGCGAAAGCAGTGCTTGATGCTTTCCAGTGCCGTTTACTGCAAAATCTGTATCAGTCCCCAAATGGTCCCATCCACTCTCACTTCTGTTCTAGGGTGCTGACATTCAGACGTGGGCATGACCTGGAGAGTTAAACTCTAAATTATGTGGCCATACATCCAGATGTCCATGTAATCGAAACAAGATTCCCAAACAGTTCTTTCTTTTAGTGACTACTGGCATTTCTATTTTACACTGTTCTACTTTTTAAATGCCAGTTCTGACTCACTAAGTTGGTATGACCCATTACTATGTCTACCTGAATCTTGAAGGTGCTTGATCTAAGTGCCTTCTTCAGGCATCTTGCTGTCTGCCATTCGACTGTAAAAATTCTTTTTTTGTATTTTAGGGAAGGGTCTACAGGATGTTCAGGGTCTCACTACTAGATCAGACTAGTAGTGCCCCACATATTCACAGCCTCCCAAGAGCTGGGATTACAGGCATGTGCCACCATGCCCAGTCTCAATAGCATCTCAGCATGCCCTGGGGGTGGGGCCAGCATGGCAGGCCTAGGGATCAAACCCCCTAGCCCCTGTGCCTGCTTGCAGGCACTTTAATCTGCTGAGCTATTTGGCCAGCCCTTTAACTGTAAAATGCTGTACATGACACACTGTACCAACAAATCAAAGTTGCATGGATTGGTCTTAAATGTTTTCCAAGTTTTGTTTTCTCATCTTTGGCTCCTGAGTATGTTCACGGATCTTTATCTTCAGAACAGCTGCTGATGTAAAGCACAATGCCTTACTATAACCCAAAGGTGATAAAATTAAAGTAGGTGTACTTAAGCAGGAGAAAAATACACCAAAGCCACCTGAATCCAGATGTGGCTTTTTTTACTCCCAACCTCAGTAGCTTTTTGTGAAAACATGTGAGATCAAATACCAGGGTATCCAGAATTGGAGCCCTGCCCGAAGGAGTTACTGTGTTCATGGCTCAGCCCATGCCCACTCCTCTCCTCCTGTCCCCGGCTCTAGTCCTGCTGCACCCGACCCTCCCTGTGCACCTCTAGGATTTGGCTTGAAAGGATGAGGCCCAGGAAGAACGTTGACTGGTTCTGAAATCTAGTTTCTCCTAGGTGGAGAGGCCCTCCTCCACTTCTCCCATGTGACATCACCCTCACAATACATCGCTTCTTGGATATTTGCAGGTCTCTTTGTGAAGTTTATCAGCATAGCTGTGGGCTCATCAGAGTAAATACTCTGGGTCTCAGAGGGCTTTCAATACCCTTAGGTAAGTACTTAAAGTTATACTGTTTTGGATATTCATGGAAAAAATGTTTTATTGCTAGGGGCTTTATAGTATTTGCTTTGTTTTTATTTAAATCAGCTATTAACACTTTCTAGTGAGGGTGTCTGTAAATAGTGAAATAATAGCTGTTTGCATTCCTAAATGGACCACATTCATTGACTGTACAGATGAACTATGAAAAGCTATGGAAGACAGAGCAAGATTATTTCACTAATTCAGTATTTTAGTTGTATCAAAGCATCTTAACTGAGATGAGTAATTTCATCAGTAATTTTAAAACACTACAAGAAAATATCAAATGTATTATTAATTATACTACTACAAATAATACTGAAGACAGAGTTAACTTGAATTAATTTATTGAAGCCTTTGTGCAAGTATCTTTTATATCCACTCAGGTACAAAACTTTTGTAAGAAAGATAACACTTTTATTGCATTATAATTTCGTATTTTACAGAAGTTACAATGCAAACTCATTTATACATGATGCAACTAAATGGCAATGTAACTACTACAAGATTTAAAATGTAAAACTAGAATTTAACAGGCAAAATACTCTATATAGCTTTTAATGGAAAATAAATGTTTAGAAGTGATTTGCTATTGCCCCGTTCTATTCACTTCTCAAGTGAACGTAAAACGATCTCCATTTAAAATGGTACAAGTTATCTAAGCCAATGTTGTACATATTTTGTAACATGTATAATAGGATTTGTCAAATTTTTAAAATATATATATACATATATACATATATACGTATGTACAGATTGCAATATACAGTACACAGATAGCTCTAATACCCCTGAACATTTTGATTAAAACTATTAGGTTTGTATTATAAAACTACTTGAAACGTTTGCATGACTTCTTGGTATTGAAGTTCAATCCTAAATACATTCTTTACAAAAAAATTGAATAGTGGTCCCGCACTCACACTGTATATTAGAATGAAGACAGTTGAAGGTATTTACAGTCTTGTGGTCCTTGGTTTCTGTATGACATATACATAAGTGAGAATATTGTAGGCAGGCCTATTTGGTAGGTTTTTCTACTTGTTCATGTTTGTGTAGGTTCCAATTCTCTTCTTTGGAGTTGTGGATTTCCAGTTGCCTTGTATTACTGCTGCTGCTGCTTCTTTTGGTGTTCTGAGAACACTGGGCGGCTTTACTTCGAGGAACAGGAAGAAAAGATTTCACTCTTGAGACACCCGACTCAGTCTTTAATTTACTGTTGCTGCATTCAGTAGTTGGATGGCTGCTGGGAGGACCGGCCTCCTGCAAGAAGAGAGAAGCAAGTCAAGCTCATCGTTGCCACTGGCTTCTGTTTCGCCAGCGCTCACTTGCCACCTCTGTGCCTCTGAGCAGACCTGCAGCAGCTTCTGCCTAAACACCAGGTCTTATGAGAAGTTAAAAGACCAGAGACCAGCCGAACGCCAAACGCCACGAATGCACGGCTTGGGCGCCTCAGGCCCTTGCTGCTGCTGCTGACCTCAGGGACACAGCAGTCAGTGAGCCCACGGCTAACACCTGGATGCCCTTGCTGGTGGAACTTCACAAAACGCCAGGCTGCAGGAAGTCACCGAGCGGGACTAATTCAACCACTGTTTGTGGGAAGCTCTACAAACTACGGCACCTTGGCTAACTCACTTTTCTGCTTTTCAACAAACACTCTGAGCGCTTACAACAGATGAGCACTCTTACGCTTCTGTATGCTACGTAATTAGAAGGGAACCCTTTCTGCTCTGTGGAGCTCACGGGCTAGCGGACTCAGGCCATTCTGCGAGTGGGCGGCTCAGTCTCTTCAGTCGTGGTTAAGTGCAGGCTCTCCTTTCCTGCAGCATTTCGGAACCCTTCTGATCACCAGGTCACAGTCTGCTGTTTTCCCCACGCAGAACCAGAGCTAGATGGGTAGGATGACCTGCTCCCCATGAAGGGTGAGGAAGCGGGTGCTGGACCTCGGTTCACTTTCACTTGAGGTGTTTCCCCCCTGTGAGATGTTCTACAGACAGGATAAGACGCCTACTAAACTGAAACAGTAAACACTGGTTGTTTCCTTTTTTTTTTTTTTTCAGACAGGATCTTGCTATGCAGTTTGGGCTGGCCCTGTGCTCACTTCTGTAACCCCCAGGTGGTCTCAAACTTGAAGAGATCCTCCTGTCTCACCCTTCAGAGTGCTGGGATTACAGGTGTGCGCCACCACACCTGGCTCTGGGGCTGCACGGCGGGCGCCTGCATAGGAGGCTGAGATGCCATGCCTGGGGATCTAGGCTGGGACAGCACAGCATGCTGGTCAGGACTGAACTTGGGTCCCTGTGCTTGCCAGGTAGGTGCCCATGCCTCTGAGCTATTTCCCCAGCCCCTATTTTCCCTCCTTGACAGTAACAATGTATGCATTAGAAGTTTTAAAACTAGCTTTTAACAGGGAAAGTAGACAACATGGCTTTAGTGCAATGTAACTGAGTTCAACGGCAGCAGCATCCTCATGAATACTGACAAAAAGAAACTTTTTCCATACAAAAACTTCTTCTGCATGTGGTCATGAAATGGCTATATGGATGTAGACTGCAGTGTTAGGACCAACTGTGTTCTGGCACGCACAGAAAAAAAAAAAACAAAAAAAAAAAACACCAACTCTGAGCTCCACACGGGCAGGGCATCCCCACCCACTGCTCCTCACCAGCTCCACTTGCACTTTACAGCATGTTAGGGGTGAGACAGAAACTGCAAGACGGCCGCACCGCGTCTGACTGGGGTGCTCTGCTTTTGTCTTGTAGAGAAGCTAATGCCGCGAAGCTGCCAGAGAGGAAACGAGAACTGCTGCTTCTGGGAGCTGGGCGTGAAGGAGCTCACGGGAGGACGTGGTTAGAAAGACACTGTGCAAATACTTTAGCTCATCTTCATTTCTCCGGGTAAGAAACCACAGAAGCCTATAAAATAGGACTTAGTCATGGGCCAACTAAGGGCATTCAGAATTTTTAATTCAGTCTAAAAAACCAGCCAATTGACATACACAGTATTCAGAAGACAAGGCATGCTGCAAAATGATAGTGATGAGCTGGCCTAAAGAATCAAAAATGTAATTTTGCCATTATTGCTGCACTTCCCCAACAATCCACAGGGCTCATGTCAAGGCTCAGAAGGAGGAAAGGAGACGCACTCTGTTCTCTCTGGCCCGTCCTCGGGCCTTCATCATGAGGGCAAGAAAAATGCCCAAATGCCTAAGCGTGGTTGGGCTGTCGAGGCTGTGCGTAGGTGGGCGGGGCTCAGGACGGCAGTGAGCTGCCGGGATGAGAGCGCGGGGTGTTCCCTTTGACTCAGTGTGGGCCACAGATCACATGGCTGAGCGTGCAGGAGCAGAACCACAGCCTGACGGACACTGTCCTGCAGGAAAGAGGAGGCTCTCTACACCCCGACGGCCTAGTGACGTCCTCCGAGCTAATGGATACTAATCCTCAGAGCACGAGTCAAGGGTGGTTTATGTATCTTCAAGGCGCTCTATTAAACATACATGGTCATTATGCATATTACACTCCAAATCTGTAGGTTAGGAAGTTTTAATTTATCTAGTCTTAAAGAATTATTGTTAAATCAGAGTAATTCATCATTCAATACCAAGCGTCCACCACAAGCCAAGATACTGTAATAGCTCTAGATAGGGAAGCAGATGAAAGACGAAAAGGACAACGTGTGGGGTGGCTGGATCTCTAAAGATGCACGGACTGTCGCAGGTGAAGAGGGACTGCCGCGAGGGTTTCTATCCTGCTGAGTGCGAGAATCGCCAGGAAGCTGTGGGTCTAGGCTGCACCTCAGAACTCAAAGAGGGCAGAGGCCAGGCACTACAGTAAGGATCAAAACCAGAACTTTGAGTGGACTTTATTATATGACTAAGGACAAAAACTTGTGCTTTAGTTTAGCATGTTAGATTGCATTTACAGAAGAAAACATTATGTTAGTATTTCTTCCTATTTATTTATGTTTTGTATTTTGGGGAAGGGTCTACAGGGAGTTCAGGGTCTCACTACTAGATCGGACTTGTAGTGATCCGCCTGTTTACAGCCTCCCAAGAGCTGGGATTACAGGCAGGTGCCACCATGCCCAGTCTCAATTACTGTCTCAGTGCACCCCGGGGGCTGGGCCGGCATGGTAAGCCCAGGGATCAAACCCCTGGCCACTGTACCTGCTTGCAGGTGTTTTAATCTGCTGAGCTATTTGGCCAGCCCTTCTTCCTATTGATTTAAGTGAATATGTTATTAGTTGTTGCTTTTAATTAAGAAGGCTGGCCAGTGCTGAAGAGATAGCTTTGCGGACTAAGTGCCTGCTTAGGCAAGCACAGGGATTGGGGCTTGATCCCCAGCACACGTGATGCACTGGCCCTGCTCCCAGGCGTGCTGAGCCAGCCACTGAAACCAGGTGGGCATGGTGGCACACGCCTGTAATCCCCGATCTGGGGAGGCTGAGACAGGAGACCACTATGAGTCTGAGCTGCGTAGTGAGATCCTGTACCAGATATATTAAAAAAAAAAAAAAAAAAAAAGGCTGGCCAAGTATCCCTCGATCAACAGACAACCACAGTCCCTCTGTTAAAGGACTTAAAGTGGAGCCCATGCCGAAGAGGATGAGCATCTACTTAGGACGGGTAATCGTGGCTGCAAGGCTCCCCCGCAGACACAGCAGCCTTCTAGTTATGCAGAAGAAAATTATTCCAGCTGGCCCACAGCACTCTTACCTCTGATGGGAGGAGTTACTTCCTGATAAAGAAGAAACTGGGCCCGGGGCCAAGAAATGCTGCTTATCCCAGGACAGCAGAGGGATGCACTGCCAGCTGTCCGAAGACTGTCGAGAGGGAGACTGCGCCCTCTGCTGGCAAGCTCATAGAAAAACATCCTCCCGATGTGGGAGTGTCTTCTATCTTCAGGGGGCAAAGAAACAAGAGAAAGGGGACACCCAGCATCCTAATAAATGACCATTTGACTCTTTCCTAGTCCAGATAGGATACAAGGACACACTGTCTTCAAACTTTCTTTAAAACAAAGTAGTCCTGAGTTGCTCAGTGTTTATACCAACGTGCTCTCGGCATAGCGGTAAGGCCACGACAGTGTTCACTAGACGTTTAATCTTGTATGTATGTATGTATGCATGTATTTGGTACAGGGTTTTGCTTACAGCTTGGACTCACAGTGATCGTCCTATCTCAGCCTCCCCAGGGCTAGGATTAAAGGTGTGCACGACCACACCTAGTTTCAGTGGCCAGCATGGCATGCGGTACTGGGGATTGAACCCGGGTCCTTGCGCTTGCTGGCAGGCACTTAGACTGCCAAGCTATCTCCCTAGCCCTTCATTTGACATTTAAACAGTAGCAGTCAGTCTCTATGCAGAAAAGTGACTTTGCGCTATGGAGAAAGTGCCTCGCTGTCCCACTTCCCAGGAGCCTCATGGCCCTTTCCTGTAATGTGTTCTGCAAGGAGTCTGACAGGATGGGCCTAGAGGGCCACAGAATGTGCTCTGGTCTCTGATCTCAGGATAGGCCATCTTTTATGGGTAATAGAGGCTCCAAAGATGACAGAGACAGACATGCGGCTAAGCAGTTTTCAGCCAAAATGCTCAGCAGTGTCCAGGTCACTTCTACTGGTCACACGCCCTCAGACGCTCCATGAGTGTGCTGAAAGGGGCGCACTGTGACAGAGAGTGCTCGCAGCGCTGCTCCTCTTCAGCACCGTGTGTGGCTCCACCAGGGGCCTCGGCTCCGTCCCCCTCCCCTTCCCTCCTCCACACGGACAGCTCACATGGTTTCACGCCTAACAGCCCAGACTGACATGTGATGCAGCCGTGACTGCAGGGGCTGCGGTGCCGGGGACGGCTGGGGCTCAGTAAGCAAGCAGGCGCGGCAGGCTCGCAGTATCAGCCCGCTTTCTGTCTACCAGGAGTGCCACACTATGCTGTCTTGCCACTTACTGACCGATGAATAAAGACCCAGCATCACAGTCAGGGGTGTTATCTCAAGAGGTGAGTGGAATCTACTGGGAGTTCAGGGCTTCTGTTTGCTAGTCTCCCTCGTTTTTAAGGTTTTTTTGTGCAGGATCTCACTACACAGCTTGGACTCGTAGCGATTCTCCTGATTTCTGCCTCTCTAGTGCTGGGATTACAGGGGTGCACCACCATGCCTGGACTCCATCGCCGACTCAGCGCACCTGGAGGTGACTCCGGAGCGGCATGCGGTGCCAGGGATCGAACCCTGGCCCCTGCGCTTACCTAAGCAAGTGCTCAGTCTGCTGAGCTATACTGCCAGCCCTTCTCCCTTGTTTTTAAAGGAAACAATGTGCATTATGGCAGGTCAGAAAATTAAGATGAAAATGAACTTATGAAAAATGGGTAAGATTTTCGTTGTTCAGCCCTTTTCTATAATGAACTTTTTCCAAAATGCAAGCATTCTTAAAACTTTCCCAAATGCAAAGGAATCCATTTTAAAATGTAATAATCACAACAATGGAAGTTACACTATTTGTAATTTGGCATACAAAGATGAAAGCAAACCCCAAAATTAAACCTCAAATTTTGGAATAAAGTTAGAGTCTTTTTAACATGATTAATTAATGAGTGCTTTTACTTTTGTCCTATGTCTCATTTGTCAGGGGTGGCCTAAAAATAATTTCATGATTCACGCTGAAAGATTTGTGAACTCACTCCACAATCACTCTTTGCCCTATTTTTGACCAAAAGAACACTTACCTCTGGTGACACTGGCATTCCTCGGTTATTGCGAGTTGCTGAGCATGCAGGCATATTTCCTGAACTGTCAAACCTCCTTACATCATCCCTGGAATCAGCAATCTGGAAGATACGTACCTTATCAGGTCAGGTCGCCAGTGACAGTGCAGCCCTCGCAGCAGAGCTAGCTGCTCCAGGGCCACCCTACCGAGCCCTGTTCTGGCCTTGGGGTCGCACCTCCAAGTGCTATCCTGCTCACATGAAACACCAGAAGACTTGATGTGAAATCAACAGCAAATATATGAGAAATATTCTCTAAAGGAAAAGAGTCTATTAACAAGAAATGGAGAACCCTATCGGAAGAAAAAGTCATTTGGTAAGTAAAGGAAATAAAATTTGAAAGATTTTAATCACTACCTTATTTTTTTCATTGGCTTTGAATTCCAATTCATTTCTAGTAATGTTAAGTAAGATGGTCAAGGTGACTTTCTCCTAAAGATTTTGACCGTGCAAGTATTCTGGAATCTTGCAGAGACAGCTGCATGTGTTGGAGGTCTATGCGTGCTGCCTTCTAAGCAAAAGGCAGTTACTGAGGAAGCGTGGTTAAATTTCTGCAGATGTCCGAGGGCCAAAACAGCTCGAACTTGACTGGATTCTTATTTTCTTTCAGATACTTGTGTTAGTGGTTTTCACATTTGATCTCAAATTTCACAATTTAACCACTTATTAGTCTAATTAAATGCAAAATGACCAAAAATTGCATTTAAAAAAAATGTATTTAGTACAGGGTCTACAGGGTCTCACTATACAGATTGGACTAGTAGTGATCTTCCCGTTTTCAGCCTCCCAAACACTGGGATTGTAGGCGTGCACCACCACATCCAGTCTCAGTCACTATCTCAGTGTGCCCCAGGGGTGGGGCCAGCACGGCACACTGAGGATCCGGATCAAATCCCCGTAATTGCATCTGCCTAAGCAGGCACTTTAATTGGCTGAGCTATCTGGCTGGCCCTGCACAGTTTTCATTAATTTTAAGATACTGTAACAGGAAGTATAAAAAATTGTATCAAATTTATTCAATATAAGAATCGACTGATTGACATGACACCTGCTCAAGCGATGCTTGAGGGCCGGGGATATGGCTCAGAGGCGTAAGAGCCTGCCTGGCGAGTTCAAGGTCCTTAGTTCAATCACTAATATGCCCTCAAAAAAAAAAAAAAAAAAAGAGAGAGATCTTCGGGACAGTACATAAACAAACATGCTGCCCCAGTGACGCCTATGGAGGGCTGGGAAGTCGTTGAAGATCACGCATGCTTTATACAGGCCAATTCTTTTGGCTGATTTGTACAAGGCAGTGTCTATCACTCTCTCTATAGTCTGAGTCTGCTGTGAAGTACAAGTCTCTCTTAGTGATGGATGTCTTCCACGCCAGCAAAGAAGTCTGAGGAAACTCAAATTTGGATTTATATAAAAATTTGCCTGAATATGTCAGTGTGACTTGCATTCATGCAACTGACACACTATCTTAAGGTCTTCAAAAAAGAGTTTGGAAGCCAGCTTCAGTAACTACCTCTTTATAGAGAGAGAATAGATTTGGAAAAGAGGACTTTTCTAAAGCAAAAATAAATAAATAAATAAATAAATAAATAAATAAATAAGAGGATTTTTAAGCAAGGTCTGACGTGGAGCATTAACCACACTACTCAGGGAGAAATGTTCTCAACACACTGCCAGGACGAGGCCCTGAGCAGCTCCCCGAGTTGCCACCCTCAGCAATCTGCACGGTGTACCTTGCTTATGTCGGATTCCGACTTGCTGGAGCACATGAGCTGAAGTTCCTTGACAAGATCCGCTTCATCATCTGAGCCCAGAGAAAGTCTTGGTTCCAAGGTCAATGTCAGTGAGACATCATTCTCTAAGGACCTAGCACAAGGGCAGAAAGGAGCTTTCCAACGAAAAGCAACAACTCATGTCCCCAATGCAAATACAGAGCCCGTAGCTTTCAGGGGGATTTGTTGTAGAACAGGGAAAGAGTTTTTAATACTTTCAATTATCTTATAAATGTCATTTAATACAACACTTTTCCAAAACTCAAGAGATTAGAATACTAAAGTAATAAGTCACAGGATTTTGCCAACTTTCACTCAAAATTCTTAATAGGTTAAAATTTTATTTTACAAGGAAATGTACTTAGACTGACACAAATTCAATCTTCGTCTCTCCTTTCCTTCTACCTCTCAGGCCAGATAGAACAAAGCCATTGCAGCCTCGGCTCGGGCACTTGCCACCAGCATTAGCCTCGGTTTGAGGCTGTCTTCTCGCTCTCAGCATCTCACTTCCTGGGCTCCCTGCTCTGTACTAAGTCCCCACACCTTCCTCAGTGTTAGCAGGAAGCCGACGGAGGCTGCAGCCCACAGTGGAGCAAGCAGTGAGCCTGGCAGGAGTGGCACAAGACACGGCCCTCCTCTCCCTTCCCCTTCCCCTCTTCTACAATGCTGGGAACTCAGCGTCAGGATCCCAGACGCTACAAGGAAACCAGGCCTCATGATTTAGGGTTCCTGGTACCTATTCGTGAAGTGCCCAAACACGTCTATTCTCCGATTAACCAAATCATCCTTGGCAGTTCAGTTCACTAAAATAACAATTCTCTAGAAGCATAACCAAAGTTAACACTATATAAATCATGCTATGTTTCTGTAAATTTAATGTTAGAAAAGTCATCTAAAGAGTTTCCAAAAGCCCACAAATGGAGGGCTTCACTATGTACTGTCATACACAGTAATGACCAAGCTTGATAAACAAAATGAAGGCTGTAATATTTCTACATTTATCTAAAGCAATAAACACAGAACGTCCTTACATTAACATAAAGACTAAGGAAGTTTTAAATATTTTCTGGGGGAGGGTCTTTTTGAGACACAGTCTTGCCATGCAGTTCAGGCTGGCCTTGAGCTCACTTTGTGGCCCAGGCTGGCCTTGAACTTGCAATGATCCTCATGCCTCAGCTTCATGAGCGCTGGGATTGCAACAATGGTGCACCACCACACCCAGCATGGACGTTTTAAATATTTTACTTGAAGATTGCATTCATTCATCAGATTTCAGTTTAATGCTAGCATTTGAATGATATCTATTAGTTTATATAATTAATGGCATAATAATTATATAAACTAAGAATATAGAATATTTCATGTTCACAGTTACTTGATTCATCTTTGAGTAAAATCAGAAAGGGGATCTTACTTTTGCTTTGACAGAGAGGCATTCCTGCTGTAATTCAGCTGTGATATAGTCATATTTTTCATACCTGTTGAAAAAATTATAATACTTTTCAGTAGAACATATCATTACACCCGAGTATCTAGATTTGGTGTTTGAAAGAATTAGACTAAGGGCCCGAGCACACTGATGCTGTTCTTGGATTATTGGCGACCTCCTCCAGTGACTCCTTGAGTCAAAGGCCACTGCCATCGCCACAGACACAGGTACCCTGTGATCAGGGCACAAGGACACTGTTTCGCACATCTACGACAAGCCCTGTGAAGCAACACCACCTGTGCTTAGTTCAAGAATCGTGAGCTTCGCTTTTGTTGACAGCTCTTCTTTTCACTAGCTGAGTCCTTGTTTTCCTAGGATTTCATTTTCAAAGTACCAAAAGAGGAGTTTAATATAGTACCTACCGCTGGAGGGTGGCCAGCTCCTTTTATCTACCTGTTCGCCTTCCAACATTACTGATGCTGCAACCAAATGGAGCTTTTGCTACGCAGGCCTGGTACAGTTTGTGTGGAAGCTTACATTCCACTAGCTATGTGTTATTCAGGAAATAAACAGCACACAAAGAGCCATGGAATCCTAGCAATGTATTTCAAAGTGCAAATGGTGACCCACTTAAAAAAACCTGTAACTCCTGAGAACAGTATATTGGCTTGTAAGTAATAATAGGTTTGTGTATACTGATCGTAATGTAAGACAGTTCTTCCAGTTAAACCATTGTAGATTGTAATAAAGCATGTTTCTAAAATACTCAATTTTATAAACACAACAACACGTTTAGACTTCTGAATGAATTGTAAAATTATATGAGATTATTGCTGGCTTGAATTTTTTCTAAAGAATACTTTTGAAAAGTTAGGTTGAATTTAATATATCTGCATAAGAAGCAGGTCACTGAAGACAATCCCTATACTAATTATTTTTTTACCCTTTTTCTTTCATTGTCTGAAAGCAGAGACTAGAACTTCCCCTAATTGCTTTATTAAATTCCTAGGCAGAGGCTGTGGGCTGTGGAAGCCCCTACTTTGGTCAATAAAGAAAAGGGCTCTCCCTACCACATTTTGTGGACTTCAGTAGTACCCTGTGTGCAAGGGCACTCCTGTTGTGGTGGCTGCACTTTTGCTTTCTTTGTAGAGTGCTGAGCATGGAGCCCAGGCCGCACACACTGGCAGGAAGGTGTTCCGCCCCTGAGCTGCATCCCCAGTTCATGGGAGTTCTCAAAAAAACAAAAACAAAAACAAAAACAAAACAAAACAAAAAAACAACTAATAATTGTGTCAAAAAATCAAAATCAATTCAAACATTATTCTAACAATCCTATATCCAGTGCAATTATTGGCAATTATTATTGTAAAAAATAAGCAAAGTACTAGCCTGTAATGGTCCTGTGTGAAACTAATTTTAGGGTTTATCAATCTCTTTTGAAGTCAGAGTAAACTACTGACTATGCTGCAGCACATTTATGAATCATTCAAACCTTCCATGTTTCAAAGGAAATCAATTTGATATATCGTCAAATAGATCTAAAACAATTACTACAATAACACATTTAAAAGTCAATTTTACTTTCAAAGTACTTAGTTTCTGAGTTAGACACATCTATAATGTTGCTTTAAATTTATGTTCCTTTCACTGATTTGGTCAACTGTAGTACAAATGCTTATGGCTTGGGGAATTACTTAGCTCGGGAGGAGAACAGAGGCCCCTTGAGGGCAGGCTTGGTTCCCCTCCTCGCCTCCACTGCCTCCAACAGACACTGCCCCACGGTACACATGCTTGAGCCCCGACCCACCTACCAAGGCCTCATGCTTGCATCAGATATGTCTCTCCACATATATTTTTTAAAATGTGAGTTTGAATTAGGAATGGCAGGTAAAAGGAGTGAACTATGTTGACATGCAATTTGGTGTTTTGATTGCAGACAAGAAAAACTGATTTTTAAAAACCATTATCAATAGGGGCCGGGGAGATGACTCAGTGGAATAAGCACTTCCCTGGCAAGCACAAGGGCCTGAGTTCAATCCCCAGTTCCGGAAAAAAAAAAACATAATTATGGAATTCAAATATAAAAGCAGGCTCATAAGTATTTTTGGAAATTAGCTGTGGCATAGTTCATTCCATTCTAAGTGCACCGGAGCACTTAGAACTCCGTGGAAGGCACACTCATAAAATCCAAGCCCATGCGGTGGGACGCCACGGTAAGCGCTGCCTCCTCCTCACCTCCACGGCTCAGGTCCAGCTTCTGGCAGGTGGGAGCCGAGAACCGGCAGCACTTCTTGCGAGGACTGGTGTTCACCTTTCGCCAAGCACCGCTCTCTTTCTTCTTGCTGTAACTTGAAACTATGGATAGAGGGAAACCCCCTCCTTTGAAATCAGCCGTGTGCTGCTCTAGCTCTGAAACAAACGAAAATCCCATTTAGCCAAAAAGGCAGTGGCAACGCAGTTTCTTTTTTTCTTTTAATTTTATTTATTTGTTTTATTTATTTTGTGTGTATGTATGGCCAGCTCAGCCCACCAGGGGGAGGGGCTGGCTGGCATGAGGTGCTGGGGGACTGAACCGCGGTCCCTGTGCTTAGCTTGTTCTAAGTAGGTGCTTTAGACCACTGAGCCATCTCGCCAGCCCCGACAACGCAGTTTCATAGGGTAAAGCAAAGCACCTTTCTAATTCTCCGAGAGATGGGCTGTTCAAAAGCACAGCCGACGGAGCACCCCGATTTTAGGAACTGGTACAGAGCTCACTTGGGTATCTGGCATTCAAACGCGAGCCAGCAACCCGAAACAGCTCTGCAGCAATGTTGTGAAATGTCTATTAATTTCTCTAGTTACGAAGAGACACAAGAGGACTGCCAAGAAACAAGTTCTAGGCCCGTTTTCTGAGAGTGGAAACTCACGTACCTGCCCTGGGGAGGGGGCAGCCCTGCAGAACGGCTCTATGCAGCAGGATGCTGAGGGCAGCCTTCACCACGGCCTGCTGGCCCTGGCTGGGGCGCTTCTTAACAGCCGTCTGCCCGAGGCCAGGCTGTCTTTTCACAGAGGCTCTGGATAATATTCCTTGCTGAACTCGGGGTGCGATGACGGCATTCCACAGCTCAGACATCCACCTTGCAAGAGAGGGGCGGGGGCTCTGGTGAGGCGCAGGCCTCGCCCGGACTGCACGCAGCTCTACAGAAGGACAAGTTTGAATACCGTGGGGAGAAACAGATGTGCTTCTAGAAATATACTTGCTTCCCTTACCAGGTTGTTTTAGAATAAGTGAAATTATCTAGTAACAAAGTATTTTGAATTTGCCTCAAAAGCACAATGATTTCAAGTGAAACTGTATGTATCTGTCTGAATCCCAGAATCGATGCCTGAGTGCTGGGTGAATTCATGGAGGAATGCATGGTAGGAATGTGAAGAGTAAAAGGGTCTGGAAAAGTTCGGATTTCCCAAAAGCTCGTGTCTAAGCTGCTTTACCTGTTTGTCTCTCTTCTTTAGAAGACACATGGACTGTATTTTAAATTTTCTCAAGTTCGGATCACTAGTAAATTAAATCTGCCTCTCTGGAGGCAAGGCTTCCTTACTGGGTTTTCAAAGTTATGAATATTGGTATAAAATCTTCAGGAATCATAGAAACTGCCTTCCAGTTAATGAGCAAGGATCTGTTCGTGTAAGCTTCTCTGTCACTGTCTGCTGCTACGTAATGCAAGGACGTGAAACCATCAGGGAATACAGGCAGAATTTTGGTATTCTACAGCAGGGGTCAAGACTATACAGTTATTTCTGAAGGTGTTCAAGGTACAAAGAATATAAGTTTTAGTTTAAAAAAGGGGAGAGTTCCTACATGGCTGAGAGGACAGTGGGGAGACCACTGCTGCTGGGGTTTCTACACATCTTGCATTAGCTTTCCAGACTTGGTTAACAGAGATGGTGTCCCCTTTGGAAGCAGGGGACAGATCTGTTTTCTGACCAGGACGATAAGGGCAATGTGTGCTTCAGGCCAGAGGGTGGACAGATGGCCACGTTCCTCTTTAGAAGATGGAGGTGGGCTGGTTTCCGTAGCTGTGACGCAAGCCCAGCATTACCTGGGGGCCATCTGTCCTAAGAATCACCTGGGGACATTGGCCAAGCAATGGCCGTGACTCATCCACATGGCTGATACTGACAAAGCTTCTACAATCTGAGGTGCAGGATCTCAGGATAAATCCTGAGGGGATTTCACTGACCTTCTCAGACCCAAAAGCTACAACTCTTGTTGCATAGGTCCTGCTTTACCTTGGTCTTGGCCATCCAGCAGAAGAGTATAAAAACGAAATATAAGAAGTAAAGCCATGCTGTTATGTTGAGCTGTGGGGGACTCAGGTCAACAATTTCTGACATTGCCAGTCAAGCAGAAGACCCAATGTTATTATGGGCTACTGGACTCTTTTAGAATATTTTGCTGAGTTCACACACCTATAATATTCAAATAAAAGAACTTAACAAAAAAGGGTTTACAGACGATTGTATCTGTGTATTCAAAGTGGTTTGGATAGATATATAGTTACATTCTCTTAATGAATAGAGGGATTTGTTCTAATGGTGTTTGTAAATAGGATGTCAAGTCCGCATCTTGTACAGCAATTAACCACTAGGAAGAATGTATGCAGTGTGTTAATTATTGAAACTGTCCTACCGATTTGATTTGCAACTGTCTCATTGCTATTTGTTTATCAATAAAATTATGGGAAATAAAATAAAATGAAGAAAAAAAAAAAGAATCACCTGGGGGACTCGGGGAGTATGGTGGTGATGGGAACATGGAGCCCAGGCCGGGGGCTATGCAGGGCATTGGGAATTTCTGTCTTGCACGTAGCGCCCGGGCCCGCAGCGGGCCAGCTGTCAGCTTGCTAAGAGGGAGAAACTCTTACGGCCTCCACAGTTCTGTCACAGACTATAGAGTCCATGGGAAAGGCCCACGCTGATTCCTAGGAAGCTTAGGCTTCCAGACGTAGAAACAACTTAGGTTTAACTGTGATACCAATGGGCAGAGGGTTGACATATTAATGAGAATTTTTTTTTAAGCAAGAAATTTCTTCCTGTTTCTATGCGCTGTTACTAAGTTGGTCTGTCTCATGACAAGGGAGTTATATTATTTTGCATCCCCTGCTTTTCAAAATTGATTTCTGCTCAAGATGCCAAAAAACCCAGAAGCAAATCTACTAATAATAGGATCTTTACTAGGCAAATGATGGCAAACTTTTTCTTCCTTTTCATCTCTTGATTTTCTAATTTGCTAACTTTATTGCACATATGTCTGCTGTTTGTAAGTTGCCTCAAAAGGAAACACGGTTAGTATGTAACTGTCACCAGAGGAGGAAGCTTTTCAGTTCAATGCTGAGTTTTTGAAGGTGGGAGGCATAAAATACCAACTGAAATTGCTCGTGGGGGACTTTGCCAGAAGATTATGCAGAAGGCCAAATATAGATTTGCAGAAAATTTCATAATAGAAGAAAAACTATTACCTAGCTCTTAGCAAAAACACAATTGCCTAACCAGGCTGTATTACCCATGGCTGTCATTTAGCACTCTGGGAGGCCGAGGCAGGAGGATTGGAGGAAGACGGCAAATTCAAATTCATACCAGACTAGGAAACCTAGCGAGGCTCTATTTTGGGAAATTTTAAAAAGGCTGGGAATGTAGCTCCTGGGTTCAAAGATCCCGGGTTCAACCCCCAATACTGCCAACAGACAGACAACACCCTCTATCACCAGCTGATGTGGAACTACACAGGTCGTGGCCGCGCTGTGATACAAGTGCTGAGAACCAGCACCCTGTGTTAATGACTGGAGGGGGCACACGCAGTCTGGTCAACATTCTCTCAAACACCTCAAATGTATCATGGCTCTACTGTAAGCAGACAAAGAGAAGTGGCACTTACTTCACTGTTGCGTGGGTATGTCCTGGGACTACAGGACAGGACAGGAAAGGCTTTGGCCCAAGCAGAGCTTCAGGTGTGCCCAGGCGGGCCAGGCAGGAGTTGAGCTGACGCCAGACACCCAGAACCCAGTCGACAATCTTACACGTGGGATCGGAGGCTGAGGGCACCTGACCTCTGAACTGTGGAGACGGGAGGACAGAGAGGCGGGGCTGAGTGTGCTTCTGCTTTGCTCTTGCTTTTAAAGGTCCAAAATAAAAAACCTCATATAAAAATTTGAAACTATAAAACATAAGTCTAGCTGAAGGAAGGACAGCTGATCCCATACTATGAGGTATACTGACCTGTTAGTCTGAAACATGTTTTTCTCATTTAATTCTCACTAGAAACCTGAGGTAGCAATTTTACTTAGAAGAATAAATAAAAATATTCCTAAGGTCATAAATACAATACGTGGCAAAGCCAAGGCTACCCCTTCTTTAAAATTAATCTCTAAGTGACAAAAATTACATATGTTGTGTGTATATATATATATATATATATATATTCAATGCAAGTTAACGTATTACTTACCTCACATACCTACATCAATGGTAAGAACACTTAAGACCTACTCTCAGCAGTTTTCTTTTCTTTTTTCTTTTTTGTATTTTAGTAAGGTCTATAGGGTCTCACTATGTAGATTGAACTCAGCGATCCATTTCTGTTCAGTCTCCCAAAAGGTGGGATTACAGGGGTGTGCCACCACACCCAGTCTCAATTACCTTCTGGGGCACCCTAGGGGTGGGGCTGGCACGGCATGCTGGGGATGGAACGCTGGCCGTTGCATCTGCCTAAGCAGGGGCTTTAATCTGTTGAGCTATTTGGCTGCCCCTCAGCAGTTTTCAAGTGTCCAGTAATATTAAGTATATACAGTTTACTATGCAACAAAATAGGTGAAATAGAAAAGGAGTCGTTTATCACATTTAAAATGAAGTCAGTAATCATTACTAAAGACCATCCTTTACTTCCTTAAGCTTAATATTTCTGATGACATGTGCCTACGTTTATGCCATGTGGTCAGCCAGGAAGGAGGGGACACACTCAGCTTCTCAGGCAGATGCAGAGACGGGGTCTCCCAGCTGCCACATCAGGACCACATGCTCAGTTAGTGAGGGAAGGCAGAGAGCCTGTTCTAACAGTGACCCCAGGGAAACATCTTGTCTAACATCACTAAATTATTAATGATGAGCCAATGAGCTACACTTACAGATCACATTGTTAAATATTCAGATTGAGAAAGATCTAATTCCCAAAGGCAGAAGTGAACTGTGTACGCCATGAATCCAAGGACAGTTGGGTGCCCATTCCCTCCATGGTGCAGATGCTTATTGGAAATTTCTATCTTGAAAAGGGGCTAAGAGTGGTTAGTACTTGAGAGTACATTAAAAGCATGTGTTTCTTCAGAGGCTGTATTAGAACTTCCGTACTTTATTAAAAACTGTGTTTTTATTTCCTTGCTATATTTTCATTTAGCTTAGTCACAATTTACTAGAGGCTTATAGGCCTGAATTTCCTGTATGCCTACTCTGTATGGCCACAAATTATCACTGCTAAAAAGGAAAAGAGGCACTGAAAGACTGTGCTTTTATTTGTTTTAATTGGTGCTGGGGGTTGAACCTAGGGCCTCAGGCATGCTAAGCATGTGCTCCACCACACAGCTACACCTCCATCATAGACTGTATAACCATGAACTACAGAGGAGAACAAAAGAAAAGGTCCTGGGCAGATGGAGCTTGTGGTAGCTTTAGGAGAAGGCCAAGCCCTGCTAGTTACAGCACACGCCCGGCTTCGGGGTTAAGCTTTACTATCTGTAAACAATGGCAGCGGGTCAGACTCATCATCCTCCGGTTCCTTTTCCTACTGATGCTCTCTGGGTACAAAACCAAGCTGCTACAGTGCATCACAGAAAGGCCTGACCTCAGACTGAAGGTCAGGAATGATGAGGAGCAGGGGGGACCAGCCACCAGTCTCTCACAGGGTATAAAGGGCGAGCTTGCTTGGTGAAGCGTGGTGGAGGTGTGCCTCAAACACAGAATGGAGAAGAAACTGGGAGGAAGGTGTTGGCAATGGATGATGCCCCCAAATAACCAGATGGGTGAAAAGATGCCATGTTTCTGTATGCGAACAATCTACCTAACTCGCTCACTCAGCGTGCTGGATCTGAGCCTGCACTGCAGCTTGTTTCCAAAGGCCGGCTCCACTCCGCCTTCTGGTTCTCGCCACACCTGTGTCCAAGATTCGCTGTGAGTGGTGCTCCTTCTGCCTCCCTGACCTCTGCTAACTTGTCCCCTTTAGAGCACAGACTAGTGTAACCTAAAAGGTCTTACATGTGACCACAACGAGGCCTTCCACCTGCTGTTCCTAAAGTACTCTTCCTTCCCTGCTTCTACTGTCCGGCCTCATCTGTTCCTCTCACAGACCGTATTAGTCATTTGTTCACTGTAACTAGCATGACTTCAGCGCTGCGCCCATGAAGTCATGCAGAACTGAGAGGACTGAGCCTTAATCTGATCATCTATCAGACGTGTGGCTCTGCCTCCTGGGAAGACACAGCACTTCATTAAACAGATAATGGACTCAAAGTGATCAACAAGGCTAAAGAAGTGACTGATAGAAAGCTTAGCTGATCTAAACAAAAATAAAAAAAAAAAAAGCATGAATGACCCCTCTACAAAAGAAACACTACCAAAACACAAACTGAGGAGATAAATCCTATTAAGAGTATGAATAGTAGAAGGAAGTAACCAACATGAAGCCAGAAGATACGACTCTGATGCCTTCAAAACAAGAGAACATGGAAAATGGATTACAGCTGATAGATTACCCAAAGGAGACTAAGATCAGGACTTTCTGGACACACAGAAGTAGTCCTGAGAGTGAAGTTTACAGCTGTGAATGCTAATATAAAACAGAGCATGTCCAAATAAATGACCTAACGATGCACCTCAAGGTCCTAGAAAATGACCCAAATCCAAAGCCAGAGCAAGGAAGAAAATTTTATAAACATTAGAACATAAATAAATGAAATTGAGACTTAAAAAATAATCAGTACATTGAGGAGCTGGTTCTTCATGATAAATTTTATAAACCTTAAGCCAATATTTCTCCCCAAAAAAGACCAGCCCTATATCCATACAATTAGAAATGAAAAGAATGAGATCACAACGGACATGGTCCCAAATCCAAAAGATTACTAGTAACTATGTCAAAAACTCATATTTCAATGATAGGAGAATCCAGAAGGAATGGGCAGGTTTGTGGACACATATAAACTCCCACAACTGAAACAAGAAGATGTAAAAACCCTGAATAATCAATAACAGGGAATATAGTTAAGACAGTAAAAACAAAAACAAAAAAAAAGCAAGTACCAACTAGGAAAAGCAAAGGACCTAATGGATTCACCACTGAACTACACAAGAACTTCAGGGAAGACAAAATAACAGCAGTCCTTAAAATCTTTAATAAAACTGACAGACAAGGAGTACTGCCAAACTCATTCCTGGAAACCAGTACTACCTTAATTTCAAAACCAGACAGGGACTCAAATAAAAGAGAAAACTACAGGGCAATATCTTTATTGAACGTAGATGTAAATATCCTCAATTGCAAACTTGGCAAATTGAATGCAACAAAATACTGGTATTTAATCACAATGAGGTGCTACTCTGCTATAAGGAAAGACAAACTGGAGTCATTGGTGGGAAAAATGGATGCACCTTGAGGCCATAATGTTGAGTGAAATAAATCAGACATGCAAGTTTAAATATTTCATGGTTTTAAGTAAGTAGATTATAGCCCAAATTATAATCCAGATTATAAGTAAGTAGCAAAAGACCAAAAGATAGAGGGAGAGGGGCTGGGGAAGTGAAAAGAATTCACATATGTTATGTGCACATACCAACTTCCCATAATGAATACATCAATACGTTCAGCAAACTTGTGCAATAACAGTAAATATTTAAAAATTAGGACAACTTTGATTCCTTGGCTTTATACATTTAATGTTCTAGTTTTATGAAGTAAGTGCTTAGAAAGATTTGTTTGTTGGCAGAAGTTCATAAGAGTGATGAAATCCATTAAACTTTTAAAAGCCAATTAAATTGTTTAAGAGAATTTAAGTTATAAGTGCTCCTTTAAAGGTGATTAAGCCTTGCTAGGTTTAAATGTTCAAAGATAAAGCTCGGGCATTGAACACAAAGCTCAAGGAGCAGCTTGTACTTGTGTGGCTCTTAACATACTCAATACATTCTTAACTAAATAACATTTGAATAGTCTGAATAAAAGCTCCAACAGAACCTGCTACACCCCACAAAGGTGGTCCCACCCTCTGCACTTGTGGTGCTGGGGATCCAACTTAGGGCCTGGAGCATGCGAGGCAAGCTTGGCAGCACCGAGCTACATCCCCAACCCTGGGTCATTTCTTTTTAAAGACTCTCATTTCCATGACAAGCTGAGTTCTATGAGGTGTTCAGCACCCCTTCTTCCCCATAGTCCTGCGCCAGTGGCAAATATTTACTGATTATGCAGGAAGCACTGTTCTAATATTCCTCAAAGAGACTCATGCTCATAGCTGTGCTCAGTCACACTGGATTCTGATACTCAGTTTCCACTGCTGTGGCCTCGTCATTACTCCTGTGTATGCAGAGTATCTTCCTGGGCCTTAAGATAGGAAATCTTCAAAAATAGTTTTTGAATGAATGAAGTAACAGCGCATTAACTTATATTTCAGGTAAGTGGTGATGATGCATGCACATTTGTGGTACATTAGCCTTGTGACTTCCCTAGAAGGAACATGTGAGCTGAAATGATTCTATCCATACTAAAATTTTTGTTTTCAAAGCTTAAAATGTACAAATACTGGACAAAAAAACCAGAATCTAATGGGAACGATTACAATTTGGTAGTACAGAACATCCCCAAAAGGACAAAGGTTTATGTATCATTAGGAGAAATATCTTTCAATTATCCTTTATGAAGGAAATAATCTGGCCAAGGAAAAACAAAAGACTTCTTAGTGACAGGAGGAGGTCTGCCGTAAAAACTAGAGAAACAATCATTATATAGCCCTCATTCACTCTGAAAGACTTTCAGCAAGAATTCGGAGATATCATTATAATTAAAGACAGCTAAATATTAATTTCTACTAAGAAAGGTATAATTAGCTTTATCAAACCCTAGTATGAAACCTAGTATTAACCTGAAAGGTCTATTTTGTTATATTAATGGGAGCACTAGAAGAAGAGACTGTGATCGCATGCCAGCGTGCTTCTAAGAGTTTGCAAGGATCAAGGGCTGTGACACTACAAGATTTCCAATGTCCTGCAGTAGTTGCTCATTTCCATGGCACACCGACAGCAGGAATTTGTTCTGTTAACTTACTTGAAGTGATTCTTGGTAAATGAAAGGCTTTCTCCTTTCTAGTCTTTAGAGTACAACCTACTGTCACACACAATCAAAAGAGTAGAGCTTCTTTTTAAATTCTTACCAGAGAGCTAGAGGAGGGGCATGTGGGTCTACAGGACAAATCACAAACTTCTGTGATTATTTGCAAGAAATATCTTTCATAATAAGATTTAAGTATTGATACAGTATATGATAAAGTGAGTGGAAGTATTAGTAATTTGAACAGCTGTGTACTTAGGATAGTCCTTGCCCCTACTTTTCCTCCTACTATGGCTGTGCTTTAGCCAAGAGACTGGATTTATGACCAGATCACTAATTTATTGTAACTTACAGGAAATTCTCTGAATAAATGTTAAGTTTAAATACCAGTTCACATCATGTGTGACAAACAGAATTATTAAAAGCTGTTTTCACACTACACCCCTCCTTGGCCCCTATGCACCATGCACACATAATCACATGTTTTAACATAGCAGGTACAGAGGCAGAGGAGATAGATCAGCGGCATAAGCGCCTGCCTGGCAAACACAAGGTCCTGAGTTCGATCCCTGGTACTGTATGCCATTATTTCAAATCCACGCTGACATTCAGCTGTCGGTCTACTTTAAGTCTCCTAAGTAACGTGCTTGATTTGGTAAACTTGATTTTTATGTGGGATATTATATAATACTTCTTTTATTATTTTGTGAAAAAGAATACCAACGCATTGTTAGTACGACATTTGAAAATGTGTCAAATGATAGAATTCTAACTTTTCATGTGACTTTTAAAAATCTACCATAGCACAGTACTTGTACACTGTTCTTCCATCAAAACTTGCCTGAGTGGGTAGATAATGTTCTGTAGGCTCCAAGGATTTGGTGAGTCTTCCTTAGGAAAAATAACTACTCCAATTCTAGCCTTCCACAGCATTTAGAACGTGGTGAGATTACTTGAGAACAGTTAATAACTACAGTGAAACCTACTGCTACCTTTTCCATGTATTTAATATAGTAGAAAAAGTTAATGGAGATAGTATATATTATACTCTAGAATATATATATATATATATATATATATATATATATATATAACATATATATAACATGTAATATATATTCTTCTTACTAGAGGCCGGATGCTGAGTTCAATTTTCTCCCCAAATACCCACAGAGTGCTCTGGCCTCAGGCCACATCACGAGTGCAACGCAAACCCAAACGCCCTGACAACTCACCCTCTACCTCCCCATCCCAGCAACGGGCCGCAGCTGCCGCTGTTTTACCTTATTCACCACTTGCCTCCGTAGAAACCTCTGCAGCAGCCCCTGCATGGGCTCGCAGTCCCAGCGCAGCTGCACCCAGCGGAAGTGCTGCTGCACCACCAGGTCGGAGCCCTGGAGACAGGCCTTGGCGATGGTCCCCATCAGAAAGCAATTTTCATGGAAGTAGTAACATTCGGATGTCCCATTTCCTAAAACAAGCCAAACCCGCAGTCTCCTGTCAGTGGTCACTTGTATCGTGGGGTCAGTGCACGGTAACATTAGCTAAAGGCAGAACGTGACATGCAACTCGCACCCTAGGCAGCAGAAGGCATGAGCAGACGGCACAGAAGCCGGGTTCTCAGCCTGGCTTCTCTACTGCCTTTACCTTTTTGGAAAGTCCATGAGCTTTCCGTGTTGCGGTTTTCAAGAGGTGCCAGAAAGTCTCCCAGTAATTCAGACAAGGAGGCTTTCTCTAAATTCTCTAAGATGATGATGATTTTCTTCTTAACAGGAGATTGTTTCACTGGGATCAGACAAGCTGTGGTCAAAACAAGAAATTAGGAACTGGAGCTTTTATAAAAACCTACACAAATTGGCAAACATTTAAAAAGTAGCAAGGAATATATGTGTGAGAGAGAGAGAGAGAGAGAGAGAGAGAGAGAGAGAGAGAGAGAGAGCGCAAACTGTGAAGTAAACCCTGAGGATGCTCTGAAATTCCTGGCTGAGTGCAATGACTCTGAAATGCAGTGCTGCATTATGAAATCCATGTGAAGATATGCATAACGAGCCACCAATCCTAGTTCCATGACACAGTCCAAGTGCAGCCATCCCAGGCCAGTCCAGGGAGACAGCTCAGCGTCACAGGCACCTGCCTGGCAAGCACAAGGTCCTGAATATACTGGGCCGGGGAGATAGCTCAGTAGAGTAAGTGCCCGCCTGGCAGGTACAGGGTCCTGAGTGCAATCCCTGGTACTGCCAAAAAAATACTGATACACTGAACATCAAATGGAACAAATTACAACCCTCAACAACAGAGAAAATTCTCACAAATCATACATTTAAGAAGAACTTTGGTTTTTAGTCAGTGTCATAGGAGAACAGGAATGGAATGCTGTTCCCCAGGGACTGGGATAGGTGGGAGGCACAGCCTAGGAGGTGGCCTTTATTGAACTTCTCTTCAATAAAGTTCAATAAAGGCCACTGAAACAGGGGGCAGGAGGTGCTTTCCATTCTTTGGCACAGTAGTACAGCATGATAACTCTTGGCTAAACAACCGAGATATTTCAGAATGGCTAAAAACATATGAGATTCCCAAAATATAGAAATGACTACTATCTGAAGTGATCCAAATACTTATACAGATTTGATTATATATATTTTTATATATATGTATTAAATTGTAATCATGTACCCAGTAAAAATATACTATTATGTCTCAAAAATATTATTTAAGTTCAGAACAAACAGGCAATACTAAATATATCATTAAGAGACTCTGTATAGGCCACAAAACTACAAGGCAAAGCTAAGGAATGATCATGTCCAAAGGCAGAGGACTGGTGACCTCCAGAAGGTAGAGTACGCCAGGGAGGGGGCACCCATGTGCACTGCAGAAGGGAAAATATTCTGTTTCTTGGCCTGCTCAGCAGTTCAATGGTTCTTTAAAACTACTCATTGATTGGTACGTGTAAGTAGTGCTTTATATTTGCCTGTTCACAACTAAAAGGTGAGACTCTCTCAAATGTCTTTTAAATTGCACATGCTCAAAATGTTAGGCAGAGAGGGCTTCAGAGGGGGCAGCAGATCCGTCCCCACAATGTGCAGACTGCTAAGAGGCGGAAGTGATTCGACTCTGACTCCATGAACAACAGTGAGGAGGGAAAAAGGCTATCACTTCTGAGTTGTGTTTTAGGGTTCCTTCTACTCGGGATGGGAAGATCTGACTTCATGTCAAGCCAAATTAGAGGATATTAAGGGAGGTTATTATTATATAAAAGAAATGAACAAATCAGAGCACAAATAATGCTCAGCACCTGGTACCTACTAATATTTTAGCCAAAACGCATAGAGCACTTGCCATGTACTGATTAATAAGGAAAAATCATCTGTGCTTAGAGGCCTCGCGCTTAGGAACATTAACAGAAGAAAATGATGTGTGTTGGAGAGTAAGATCACCACGTAGTCCACTTTTCACAATCTTCATGAGAACATGAAGATTTTCTTGGTACTACAGACACAGTGCATTTTTACTTTCAAAAGCAACATTGTAAATGAATCTTTTTATAAGCTGAAATAGATTTCCTGGATCCCAAGAAGCTTTCCGCACTAGGACCTAGACACACCGGCAGCCCCCTCTCCATTCAGCCTTCCTTGGGGTTGGTGCAGCTCTGCAGGTCCAGCCTGTACGAGACCCATTCAGCACAGCTCTTCTGTTCGACGCTAAAATCCTGTGCTTCTTGAGTTCCAATGTGATTGCAGACATACACACATTGGAAGGGTGTAACTCCATAATACAACAATGATAAACTAAGACCCTTGATTCAGTGATGAAAAATACACTAGGTCGATGGTGTATGTGTGTTTCTGTATAATGTAGGACTGAAAGTTGCCAGTTTTTCTCGGATTTGTCTTAAGTGTTTGGCTAGCTGGAATTGCTCTGAAGCTACTGTAACCAGGAAAATGGATCTACTTGCACTTCAAGAACTATTCGATGACTCCTCCTATAGGCCCAACATGCTAAGGGCTCAAGGTGTGCTCAAGGTGACTGCTTCTGACCTGGAGGGTGGCATTTTAAATTTGGCCTTTTAAGAAAAATGGTACCCAAGGGGACACATCAGGGGAGGCAGACACAGAAAAATGTAGACTGCACACAGGTCAGTACTAGAGGAAGCACAATGAAGTCAGTGGGCTTGGAAGACCGGTGGGGCCCGGCTGATAGTGCCAGGGAGGGCAAGAGGAGGGAGCAGCCCCTGCTGTGGGCAGCAGTCCAGCAGGGGGTTGCAGTCTACCTGGGCTGCCCGTTGGGATCCCCTGGGATAATCCTGTGACCTTCAGCGATCTGGACTGATCAGTCTGCACTGGGCCTGCAACACTGAAATTTTATAAAGCTTCCCCAAGACTGGAATATGATGCCAGGACTGAGACTCGCTTCTCTGAGGTCTCGGATCCCTGCCAAAACTGAAAGATAGATGACCCAGAATGTGATGGTAGGAGGAGCAACACCAGCCCTGGGAATGAATAGAGCCTTTACGGAGGTGACGCTCAGCACTCGGCACCTGCTGGGCTCCTCACTCTGTGAAGACACAGACAACACAGGTGCTCAGGTCTTCTGCGCTGAAAGGAGACAGGAGACGGGTGCTTTCTCTGGGCCCAAGATCCAGGAAGAAAGGGCACTCTAAGACCACCCCAGAGTTTTTAAAATTTATTTTTTAAAGATGGCTCTTGATAAGTGGCAAGGGTTGGGCTTGAATTTGAGATTCTCTTGCCTGGGTCTCCTAAGCAACTGAAATTACAAGTATATACCATCACATCTGACTTCATTTACAGATTGGAGATTCAAGGTTTAAAAAGTCTCCGATCAAGATTTATGGAGACATGAAAAAAGGCTAGTCACCACATTCCACATCTGTACTTCCTTTCCACTTGTGGCCAGAAAGTCAACCATTTGGATTTTCTGTGCTTAATGCTTCTTTAAGGCTCTATTTCTGAAACTAGTGTGTTCTTTTTGACCTTTTTTCTTGCACCTTTAGAGACTGTATCAGTGCTGTTCTTCTCTCCTAAATCAATCACAACTGGACATAGTCTTTAGGAAGTTCTGGGCTACATTTCAGTTTTGGACACCCTTATATTAAAAGTCTTGGATAGTTTGTTCTACAGCAACACTTGTTGGTTTAAAAATGATTAACATACCACCTTTTTGTCCAACCCAAACTTTGTGTATAAGGTGACTCCATGTCTATAATTTCCCTTGGGGGAGTGAAAATGACCCTTGTGTACTGTTGCTGTAAACAAAGTTCTGCAGAGATGACATCCTGCATGTTCAAATTTCCAAGTACCTTTGGTAACTCTGAGTCCAAGAAAGTAAACTCATTGTTGGAGATACTAATTATCATATTCTTCTATTATTATAATGTCATGGTTTGTGTCTAGGTGTCCCGTCAAAGCCTCATGCGGTCATGGGGTGGCTTCTGGGAGTTGTGCGCCCTGGGGCAGGTCATCTGCACTACAATGTACATACAGAGCTGCTAGCTTCCTGCCTGAACTCCTGCCCTCCCTTCTCTCTCTCTCTGCTCTTTGCTGCTGCCAAGAAAGGTTGCTCTCTGCCATGTGCCACTCTGCCTTGGAGCTCGCTGACTGAGGATGGACTGAAACCTCCAGAAACTGTGAGCTAAATAAACCTTTCCTTCCCTAATTTGAGTATCGGGTATTTGTTCCAGCAACAAGAGAAGAGTAACTGAGACATATAATTATTATTATTTATTATATATAACATATTGTACTATATTCTATGTACTATACTATATACTACATATATTTTTGTATACACTATAGTATTTTCATAGTAATTCCATTCCTTATGACTTCTAAAAAGTTTTATCTCAGATTCAAATGTTATTTTAAGATACTAATCTAGTTTTGTTATTTACTTTACTACTTTAAATTACAAGCAGTTTACAAAAGTATCTTTTGTGCTAACCCAGTTCCACGCCTCACTCTGAGGAGAAATCTGAGCTAACTGTAGCATTCACACGCTCTGAACCAAACAACTGTCATGTCAAACGACTCTCGCGACTGGCAATGTGAGAAAGAAAAGGATATTTTGAAAGAAATGCGAAGTAATTTCTGTCAGCACACGCGCTGAGTCACTCCTCTTGAAACGTTTCTTTGTTTCACATTCTTCTGTCCACGTTAATCTCTAGATATGATTCAGATTCTTACAGCTAAGGCTGACATATTTCGCTACTCTTCTTCCCTGTATTTTTGCACGTTTATTTCTATTTTCTCTTAGTCACTCTGGTATTTTTTCATCTCCTCTCTTCTCCCTAGTCACAGAGAAGACCAAATGCAAGCAACAGACGTTTTGTACTCAGTGGAAGACAAAAGTTTCGCACTTCGACACCAGACCAACCCAAGCAGTCTAGGTCTTTCGCTTTAGAGAAGACCAGGAAAACATCAGAGAGCACACAAAATTGCTCCCGGGTCACTGCATTCCGGATCTGTACTAATGTCACCTGATCACTTGATTTCTCGGTGGAAAGGAAAGAGCGGCTGAAAGGTCATTGCCAGCTCAGTCTTCTAAAAGCAGGAACGA